AAACGTGTATTCCCCCTTTTTTGTGCCAAATCTGGGTTTCACATGATTTGTGGAGCTCCCTCTGGTGTTATGATCATGGTATTCCTTGACCTTTGGGAATAATTTTGACATGCACATGGGTACCATAGAGGTGTAGTGGATCTTGTAGACCAGGCCCATTGCAAGTAGCTGTACTCTGTCGTCTACTCTAAGCCATCCTAGGTTGTCAAAGTGGGCAGAGGTGAGGTGGGTTCTAGATGAGAGGTCAAGCAGTAGTCTGACCAGTTTATTTTGCGATGTTTGAAGTTTTATTTTTAGCGCCTTGGAGGTGCTATGGTACCATGACGTGCAAGCATAGTCATAGTACCCTTGAATGAGTGCTCCTGCCAGAGTTTTCAGGGTGTTTTTGTTTACCAGAGAGGAGATCCGGTATAGGAATCTAGTTCTTTGATTGACTTTTTTTATTACATTGGATGCCATTTTGTCACAGGAGAGGTTTGCCTCAAGAATAGATCCTAGGTATGTAATTTCCTTCTTACTTGTGATAATAATGTCCCCCACTGCAACTGAGAAGTCGTCGGATTTGCTGAGATTAAGTTTCGAACCGAAAAGAATGGACTCTGTTTTACCCAGGTGTAATGATAATGTATTATCGGCGAGCCAGGTGCAGATTCTGCCGAGCTCGGAGCTGAGGGTTTTTTCAACCTGCAACCTGTTCCTGCCAGAGACCAGCAGGGCTGAGTCGTCCGTGAACAGGAACAAGTTGCAGTCACATGCTGATGACATGTCATTTACATAAATTAGGAACAGTAACGGACCTAATATGCTTCCTTGTGGAACACCACAGCTCACTGGGAGGGGGGGGACAGAGTACCGTTTACCTCCACCATCTGTTCACTCCCCTCCAGGTAGGATTGCATCCAGCTCACCGATAGTCTATCAAAACCAATTGCTTTTAGCTTGTCAATCAGAATGGGGTGATTGACAGTGTCGAAAGCCTTTTGTAGGTCCAGCATCACCATGCCGCAGTACTTGCCCTCGTCCACCTCTTGTTTGATGTGGTCGCTCAAATAAAGAAGGCATGTGTCAGTGGAGTGGGATGTTCTAAAGCCAGATTGAAATTCATAGATTAGTTTCTTTTCCGCGAGGTACTTTTCGACCTGTTCATATACTATTTTTTCCATGACTTTCGAGATGGAGGTAAGTATAGAAACAGGGCGGTAGTTGCCTGGGTCCAATTTGCTGCCCTTTTTGTGCAGGGGGGTTACTCTTGCAATTTTGAAGTCTTTGGGTACTTTTCCCTGTTTTATGGAGAGGTTAATTATGTGAGCTATGACTGGTGAGATGGCGGTTGCTGTGTCTCTGAGGAATTTGGAGGGGATATTGTCGTGGCCAGTGGCCTTGTTAGGTTGGAGGGCGCTCAGTTTAATGAGTACCTCTGCTGTTGTTACCCTGTGTGTGTGTGTGTGTGTGTGTGTGTGTGTGTGTGTGTGTGTGTGTGTGTGTGTGTGTGTGTGTGTGTACAATTGTGCACACTACTTAGTCTAGATTTACATTACTTTTTAGACACAGTGAGCCCCAGCACATTCCGTTTTCTAGACTTCTGTGTCACAGATCATCTCTTACCTCTTCACTGCTCATTTGGGATTGACTCGCAAATTACACTTTTCCAACAGCATTTGAAGGCAGCATTTCTCTGTTTACCCATGGGTGGGCCTTGGAAAACACACATTTCCAAGGGCAGCAGCCTCCAGGGTCACAACCGCACATTCCAGGGTAAATCTTGACCAGACAAGACAGAGTGATAAACTGTCAATTGATCATTGACGACTGTAATCCCTCACCAAATCTAGAAGCATGACACTAATAAATCAATCTTTGTCAGACTTAATCAGACACAGAGACACAACCTATAATTTAACGTAATTAAAATGTTTATGCATTTGGGTTTCCAATTTGCATATTCCTAATGGATAATTAGACAAACACTTAGATTTACTATAATAATCCCTTTGATGGCTAGTTGGTAGGGGACTTGCAGTTTATATAACTTCAGTAATACATATACAGCATTTCTTCCTGTGTACAAATCAGTTGGGGCTCCTTTTATCTGAAGACAAAATACAGCTTGTTTGGTTTTGTTGGCTTTAATTGATGCCTGCATGGTCCTATTTATGTACACCTGAGTACTGGCCTTCTACTGGGCTCCTGCATGTGAGCTTTTTGATTTGACCAAAGCCCACCAGATGGCAGCACAAAGTAACAATCGGAGCCTGCATTTTCCTTCAATGCACAGGTCTCAACTCAGTACTGACTGGTTAGAGCAGTAGGCCTTAGCATCTGGAGCCAGAAAATAAGTCAGGAACATACTGTACACAAACATGCACACACAACCATATTGTGTGTGTGCATTAGCTATATGTTGATTTTGCATGGAGAGGTATTGCTTATGTATCCTAAGAAGATACAAATCTTAAGCTAAAGGGGGGTTGTTGTTCTCCCATCTGAGAGGACAGGCTGAACTTTGCACAGAGAAACAGGGGATCAGGTTACATTGCTTGCACAGGCTTACACCATAATTTGCATTTTCACCTTTCAGTTCAAATGATATTTAACACATTTAGAAAAACAATTGTAAAATACAGTTGTGAACTTTGATCTTAAAACGTGTTACTCTTGTCTTTCCAAACTCTATTGACATGCTTTACCTTCCATCTCTATTGTTTGTTAAAGGACATGACCACACCAGTATTATTTGTCTTGCTAATTAAAAAGCAAACATAAGAACATAGCCTCCCTGATCCTGCAGCTAGTGTAAAAGGTTATTTGCAATGTCACATTGTAACATCATTTATAAGTTGGGTGTAGCCTATATTTTTTTAATATACACCTTTGAATGCAACGCTGCCTGTTTTCGTGCTGTTAAGGCACATCCCTCTGCAACAGTGTTGTATACTTTTTACAACACAAATGGTGTCATTACCTCATCCAAATCTGACAAAGAAATGACCAAAGTGTATGTGTCAAAGTAATTGGTATCATTGATTGTAAAAGTGTAGCCTATATAAATGTTATTTTTGCTGACTACTAGTTACAGCCTGTACTATTATATACAATGGCAACCTATATGTTACATCAATTTGTTTAGAGCGACTACAGTAAAGTACTTATATCGTATCGAACACAGCAGATCTCAACTATCCAGTTTAGTTGAAAATTAGTTTATCTACCTTTCTTCTCTTCTTTCATGCAACATTTACAAAACTCAAGACAGATGCACTTTACTTGTGTATTTCAGTTTTATGCCACTTTATAATTCTTCTGTGCTCATTAAGTAACTTTAATAATTAATATTTTTGCATAAAATAAAAAATGAAGATTTAATAAATCAGATTTGTATTAATTGATTAAATTGACCAACGTCTTAATCTAATTAAACTGTTTTTGTTTTTAAACCTTACTGGATCAGATCAGCCAGTCAAGAAACCGTCAAGATAATAATTACAACTTTAAACATACAGCACTAAAATGCAACATACACATTAATACAGCAAATTACATGAACACTTCTTACAACTCTGACCACTAATAGTAAGAACCTGCCTTAACAAAACCCACATTGGTGCTTGCAAGAGGTGGATATCCAATATTTCTGTTGCAACGATAGTGCCAAGAGACAACATGTCGAATAATCTATGCAAAGTCTTAAATTGCAAAATTCCAGGTGACTTGTAAATATGAAGATACTTCTTAGACTATTTTAGGATCCCAACACATATGGTTGGTAAGCACATCCCTATTCAAACCAGTCTAACCAGTCAGTCAAATAAGGCTGTGTCCACTTCACTTGAAACGTCTGGATTTCTATTGCACTTGCAGGGCACTCCTGTTGCTAGGCTGAGGATCTTTTTAAAGAAATCTTCCACTGAACAGAGCATGCGCTGTGGTGTCAGACATCTCATTGGTCAGTGATGGGGGTGGAGTGTTGCATACCACAGGCCTCATAGACTTTCCAAGAAAGGCTGCACTGACTGCACAGCCTAAGTTTGCTATTTGGCGTCCCCATTAGACTTGGTTCAAACTTTTTCAGTAAAAATAAACATGTTCAAACTCTTTGATTTTATCACAGGCATGGCAGGCAGAAAAAGCGTTTGTCGAGGAAGGGCCATGTATATCCAAGCCTTACAAACAAAGAATACACAATAAATATACATACCTTATCCAAAATAGTTTAGTTTATGGCCTCAATCACTTGTTATTTCGTGGAAAGGTGGCTATTAGTTAGCCTACATCACTATCCATAACATTCACCTGTTTGCAACTTACAAATTATGTATCTTGTATAGACTCTTATGGCACTACACTGTAGCTATGTACGAATGACAATAAAAGCCATGCATCTTGAATATCAATGAACAACAAACCAGGGAATCAACATAGCCTACTTTGTTTATCACAGCTCTACACATAGCCTACATCAGTTTTTCGTTACAATAATGTCATATAATGCTATAGATGTTTAAAGCAATACACAGAGTTTACTACAACACAGCAAATATACTTAGCCCTGTTTCTATCTGTGTTTTAAGGAAAACGTTTAGGCCTACTATATGGATGATGAGAGTCTGAAAGAAGGCACACTGGACCAGTGCCAAGAGAAAATGTGTTTTACCCATGCCCTTAACAAACACGTAGCCTATATTCATATTTTCAGTAGGGTCCAATATGTACCAGATTAGTTACTATGACACAAAAGTGTCAGTGTAGGCCTATCTAAAAATACAGGTTTAAAATTGGTTAATTTCATATCAGGTTAGCTGTTTACTAACGTCACATTTAGCTTGATTTGATTGGCTGCGTACATTGCAATGAGAAAACAACAACAACAACAACGTGTAATAGTTTTGTAAAGACAACTTGCTTTGTTCCGACTAAAACCTTTAAAAATGTATTGCAGTTGTTTTGTGCTCATCCAAGAAGAGTTTGGACGGATTTTTAGACTCAGTAGGCTGCTAGTGTAGAGCTAGCTGGGGCTGGAGAGGAAGTGGAGTTTGGCTTACGTTGAGAGCAAAGTGGGCTGAGCCGCTGAAGAATATCAGGCAGAGGCGGAGAGGAGGACACACATCAGAGCAGAGAGGCGACGAGAGCGGACAGGACGATGCGGCCGAAACACCCACCAAAACGGCGAAAATCGCCCCAAAATGTGCCACCGGCCGGTGTAGATGACGACGGCGACACCCGGACTTGGAAATGGGTAAGAACTTACGAGTAATCAGACATTTTATAGCTGTAAAGTACGAATCTGGTGTCAGGCAATATGGTGGATAGAACGACAGTTAGACGCAGTCTTGTAAAAATGGCCATGGTGTGTCAGCTAAGAACACAGAAAACGCTGTAAAGGCTCTAAACTGCATGAAATTGTATTTCAGTTGATGGATTTTGCATGTTTGCTAGCTTTGTTTCGAGTAAACTTAGTTCATATTTCGATAAGAACATTTATCCTCGACTTATTAGCAGTTATTTCAACCTACGCATTTAAAATGGCTTTGTCCTTGAAGGGGCAAATGCCCTTGTCTCAATTTACTCGACAAAAACATGAAATATAAGCAAATGTTTCGTCTTTTGAATGTTGTATTGTGAATGATGGACATCAACACAACAAGCTGAAGAACATTTTTGTTTATTTTCAGTTTACTAGCTTTTTGAAGTTTTTCACTGAATTGTAATGATACAAATGTTAAAAAATTGATAGTTTTAAACATTTTCTCATTACAGTGCAAATATGTATTGTCTGACTAAGTTAAACTTAATCATAGATGCTTGATACTTAATTATTCATAATAGTTAAAATAAATTGTAACAAGTTGTCTAAATACTGTAAATATGACATTCTAAGAATTCTTCCATTGTAGACACTATTCATCAACGATATTTGATGTGTTTGCCAAATAAAGGTTCTATATTTGATAAAAGCATAGATGTACTTAGTAATACAAAATAGGGTGTTGGCTTTTAACCCTTTCAGGCACTGGAAGGAGAAGTCATTTAAATATGTACATTAATTTAGTTTGCCACTCACTTTACACCTGCAAGCCATGTAAATACAGACTATAATTTTAGAAAACCTCTCAACAATAAGTATTTGAATTGGAGGAATATCAAAAGACTGCATTAAGATTAAATAAATAAATACATTCATCTCAATATCACGGTCTCAAGGACAAGGTTGTGGATTTATCCACACATGAAGGCCATATCTACACATAATACAATTATATGTACACTCTTTTATGATAAATATTTGCATCTGAAACTCTATTGTTAAATCCAAGGGATTAGTACCGCCATGCTCATAATAAAATGTATTTTCAAAGATATTCTCAATAGGATGGCACTGTAGAAGACTCATTTAGTTCCATTTTGAGCCACCAAGACAAAGAGATTTAAAAAATATTCGGACTAAGTATGCTACTGGTTATTTATGATTTCTTAATATGTTAATGAGCACTGAAACCTGCTCAGAAAATGTACTTACAAATATTTTTACACCAATAGCCTATTATCTTCCAATGTTCTATGCCAATGTTAGTTGATATTTTGTTAATTGTGATTACAAAAATGATCATAACTATGTTTTTTTTGTTGTTGCAGGAATTCTCTTGAGGTTTCACAAATTGCGTCAACGAAGAAAATAAATCATCTGACCCAAGCTAAATGGTATGTTTTTTGAATTGTTTTCAGGCTAGCTACGTTCGTTTTACTGCTACATACATGTAGCCAGTAGGGTGTGCTGTTGTCACATTTCCTCTAAGCATTTATTTCTCTATTTCAAAGGGTTGACATTTAGACCATGGAGTCGAGAATTGAAGCGTTCCGGCGATTTGAACTGCAAGAAGTTTTTGTAAGTATAATTTTTAAGGAACAATAAATTATGTGCATGTTATCTGTGCATTGAACTAGTGTCAAGTAGAAATCTGTTTAACTGATCACTGAAACATAACCAGATTAACATAGGTGTGATCAATGTCTTTGTGTGTGCAAGTCATTATTTGGAAATACCGCTTTATGCTCTTTCTTTTATGTTCTGTGCATTATAGCGATTCATTTCACTGAATACCATGCATAGGACAGGTTCTGCCACCTAGTGTATAATGCGGTGAAGACATACCAACAAAAAATATGCTTAAGTGATAAAAAGGCCAATTCATACTTTCCGCGTCGGTTATGGTCCCTACGATGCTAATTACGTAATTCACCATGTCCGCGAGGACTAGAAGAATGGAGCCCAAAATGTGCGATCTTCATTTGTAGTTCCAATGAACCGTGTGCAAATCCACACGAGCGCGGTAGACGAGAATGCGCATACGATAACAACTTGTTCTGGGATACATTTTCAGTTACCTGAAATTCGGACATTCGGATTCGTTATATATTCACCATGTTACTTTAACGAGCTAGCATCCGTGAGGCCCTTACTATCTTTTTTTTTTTTTCATATGTCCAATATAATAAAAACTGATGATCATCAAACATTAATATCACTCATTTAAAAAACACTGCCATTTTATGGCACTAACTGTGGGTCCCAGACAACAGTGCATTTCATGGGTTTGCCATTCTAAAAATACTCTTCCAATCGCGCTTTAATTTCTGTGGTGTGAAAGAGACTGGCCATGCAAACTGTGTTCCACGTGTTGTTTGAGTTTGGAAGATGTTCTTCCAACTCTGGTTTGTTTATGCTCTTGATAATGTTGAAACAACATGAATGCTCAAAATCAGATGTGTTCTATTTTATTGCACAAAGCAACACGTTTTCTGTCATGAAATTATGCAATTGAACTGAAAAAAGAAAGAGAAACCAAGGCAAAATCGAACGACATTAGTGGAGCTATCAAAATTAATAGCATTGTGTCGGGTGTCCTTACAACAAAAAGTCCAAGGCAGGAAATTCCACTAAAATAATGTTAACACAAAATAAATGTTCCTTGTAGAACATAAGCGCACCACACAAGCACAAGAACTGTCAACCCCCAGAGGGAAGTATGGTTGTTGACGTCTGCATATGCATTAGTTATACATGTCGAGTGCTGTACTGATCTTGTACTGCAGCAATTGCTTTTTCTGTTGTATAAAAATAACCATACAAATCAGTCTGATTTGACCAAATTATTTTTAAAGACTTAAGGATAAGCTGTAATTAGTACTGTATCAGACACTAAATATTTTTGTCAATCTTACAATCATTTTGTATTATTGGTCGTATTCCACTAATGAACAGTTACATATTTTTTTATTAAATCTGTATGAATGTGATTTATGTTGACGTAGGTATAATTTATTGTTTTTTACCTTTTCCACAGCGGAAGCATGAGATGGGCGGGAAGATTTTCAAATTATGATGAAAAAGAAGACGGCTCGGTAAGTTTGCTAAGTAGACATACCCACATGCTGAATGATCCCTTAAATACAATGATTAAAACATTTTTACTTTATAGGGATTACTGTATGCTGTATTACCTACATCTTATTTGGATATGTTGAGGATAGCCACTCACATTTCAAGCAGACTTTACGTATGGCTACTAAAAGACCTAGATGTTGGCAAGTATAGTTAAAACACTAAGGGTGATTTTTTCCGAACTTACTTAATGGTAATACAGCTGTAACAAGTGGTCATGGGGCAACTTTTGATGATACAAGCTCTTTTTTTTTAATGCTGCTTTTATGTGGACATTTGCTCTGTTTACTGTTGTTGGTACCTCAAAGCCACATTTCGCCTAAGAGGTTCTATATGATCCATCTTTGCTAAAATCTGATGGTTATTTGGCCTTAAAAGGTAAAAAAGATACATGATGGCCAATACCATGTGACAACTATGTTTTACTGCCTTTTTTTAATAAAATTAAATATATATTACTATGGATTGAAGGGTTGTTTTAATAGGTTTTGGATGCTACTATTTTGTCCAACTATTGCTTGATAATGTATTTGCTTTGATTAATTAGGTAAACATTCTGTGAATTCAGAAAATGGATCTCACTTTGCATACAGCATTGTTTACTCACACGCCATTGTTTTCTTGTTTTGATCGCAGTCTGTTTGATCATCAGTGTCGCTTAACACATTTTGTGAATTTGGCTAGCTCTTGACACATCATTCCTCTTGTGGCCAGTTGATGAATTTATTTGCAAATTGTCGTTGCATTAACTTAACTTGGACTTCATTTAACTTGGAATATACCAAACAATATATCAATTTGCAGCCTTACAACTATTTGAAAGATCTTACATTATTGATATAGCAGGCTGCATGTCTCAGCGTATCATTTTGTACTTAGAAACCCTATGTACGAAATAATGCCAAAATGTTTATTTATTACATTATTATGTATTTATTTTTTTAAATAAAAAAACTTGCGTTTTATTGGAATTGAATCCATCAACACTTGATCCAAAATTGAAAAATGATAACCCTGGATTACAAATGCATCCAAATGTTTAGTTAATGTTGCTTTCAATGTGACTTTTGATCGCAATTTTGATAAAAAAAAATGGAATGTGTATACCTTTTTTGATATACTGTGTACACAAAGTAATACTTCAGCATAATACGTTCACTCGTGCAATGCTAGCTAACGCAACTAAAGCTAGCTAATGCAACTAAAGCTAGCTAATGCAACTAAAGCTAGCTAATGCAACTAAAGCTAGCCATGTATTTTATTAGCATAACTTCTCTGGACTGCTGGACAGTGAACATAACTCATTTCAGTTGCACTGTGGGCTTACAACTTTTCCTTCTTTTTTTTATCCTATCAAGACGCCATTCAACTGGATAGTGGTGAAGTGGAGACAGCGTTGTTTGACGCGAAGATGGCAAACTGATTTGACAGTTAGCCACATTTTGCCAAGATGAAGCCTTTTTGACTGGGATTTTTCGATTGGATATTTTTTTTTTTATGACAACATGGACACTGGAAGACTTGCTGGCTGTATAGCGGACTTAAAGAATGACATTGTTGTTTTGGGGAAAATAGCCTTTGTACATTTGTTTTTCAAATGTTGTTTTGAAATAAAGTTTATGTCCTCGTAATTTTCCTGGCTTTGTTTCATTAGCTTAGTAACCGGAAAATTACAAACTAATTTGGCGTTACATTTTTATAACGTTGAATTACATTAGCTCGGCTGTTGGTTCATATTTACAAGTAATCCGTACAACAAAAACACTTGGTTAGCACTGACTTTGTGCCACTGCTCAGCACGTTTGCTAACTTTTAAGTTAGCATACACACTCACGGTTAAACTTCGTACTGGGTTGATGAATCTACTTTATTTTTCAGGTGTTATTCTACAAACAAATTATCACTTGCTTTGTTAGATAAATTGAAAGTGGTAGAAATTTAAGCCAGCCCCACTGTATAATCTTAACTCAATTAAAACAATCGAAGAATACATACTTTTTGTAAGGTACAATGCAACTAAAAAAGGTTTTGGTCTGAGCAGAAATGGTTTCCAAAGGCATTCTAAAATGGCTTCTGGTTGTTCTTCTTCCTGTCTGTGCAGGAAGTGATGCAATTGGTGCAACAATAATTATATACTTTTTAAAGCCTCTTAGTATTCTTACTATTTCATGAAGTGAAAGTAAAGGTCTCAACTTCAAGTCTGGGGCTGAAAGTAAATATAAGTTTATATAAAACAACATTTAAACCTAATAAAAGGGGTGGGACTTCACATCACCTGAGTGTGGGGTAAATGGAAATAACGTCAATCAAAGGCAAAGCATTCAGAGCTAGGAAGGAGCTCTAGATGGCGGCTGAGCCTTGGGAAGGGTGCCATGGGCTTTCGTCAGACCGTTTCTCTTACTAGTTTTTCGACCTAAACTGTCTGATTTTGGTTTATATTAAGCGCAATGTTAGTACGATCGGTATTTTAACGGGAATTAAGACGTTTTGAGTGGTTTTCGGGCTGTTTTTTCGAGTCGGACGAGCCGTTTGTGCAGAGGGAGTGCTTGTCGTTGTTTTCCACACGGCTCTGGCAGCCATGGCGCTCCTCCATTTTTAGTGAGCTGCTCGCCTCTGTCGCTCTGACAGCAGATGCACACTTTAAAGGCCTTAAAGCTTTTCAAAACAATGCTCTTTTTTGCAATTTATTATTAAGTTATTATTTGTATAGTTTGTATTCGAATCGGATAATTGCTTGTGATAGAGCGAACGTCGACCTAATAGTTAATTTATAGGTTACTACCTTTCTTCACATTGAATTGGTCTGTTTACATTGTGAAGTGCATAATTGACTGATTTTCTCATCCTTAAATCTTATTTTTCTATCCTTTCATGTGATGACGCAGTTGCAATTAATTGCATGCGGCTTGTTCCGTGGACTTTACTGAACGAAATACGTTGGATATTTATCATATTCTAGAAACACCTGTCAATTTTCCTTGGATATATTTTAATGAAGCGATGTATATAATGATGCTTCCTTTCGATTTAATGCCCTTTTTCTCAACTCGTGTCGCGTCGCCTGGGTTTTAACTGCCACCCGAGCAAAGGCAATCTTGTGGGACTTGCATGATAGCTCATGCTTCCTCTAACTTTTTGACAGTAAATACCAGGACAAAATACCTTTCAAAGACTTTCAGGATACTACCATGATGAAGACTAAAAGTAAAAAACAAGAGGATGAGCGATCGACTCAAAGCAATGCATCAAGGTATGACCTTTTACTTTATTTTTTACCCTTTTCATATATTTTGTGATTGTTTACCTTGTTGATCACCTGTGTATACATTTGTGACATGGTTTTAATGAACTGCACCACTGTCATGAATGACCTTTCTATTGTTTAATTGCCACACCCTGATTTTCCTTGCATTTATTTCACTCTATACTGAGGTTTCAGGCCTGTGTTTGGACATAACTGCCCACAAGATATGTTTGTGTTAGACCACAGGAAAACGCATTTGTTCTGTATTATGTTGCTAATGATTTGTCACATATGTTTTCCCTGTCGCTTTATTGTAATGACCTTGTCTAACTACTTGGTACTGCATTGCACCATTTAATCAACGTTGTTGCTAGTTTTCTTATTTATTGAAGAAACAATGCATTGCTTTGATGTTACTTTTGTTGGTTTTAGAAGAGTTATTAATAACATACTTTGCCATTTGTCTTATGACTTTTAAATCAGGTCAAGATGGGCTTTAATTTACACTTTTATATGAATCTTTAATCTTGAACTATATTTACAGTTTTTACCAAATTATTATGCATATTTCTCCTCATTCAAGCCCTTCATCCCACATATTTTAATGCCTTGTTAATCATTTTTATTTTGAGAATAGCAACACTTTAAAATACTTGTATAATGACAATATGTCAGCCCCAACTTTAAAATAGTTTTCAGGAAAGGTTATTTTTACTTTTGTTTTGGGGGCCTAGAGAGTTTCAGTTTCAGGAATCTAGTAACACATATCCTAATGTTTGTTTTTATTACAATACACAATTGAATGCTTGCTTTCATTTGTCAAGCAAAACATTTTATTCATAGATGAGCCCCTTTCACATACAATGAAGTTTTTTGTATTAATATTGGAAATTTGGAACTTGATGGTGTTAGTTAAACATTATGTCTTGAACATGTTTTGATGCTTGTGATGTTAATGAAAAACAATGTTCTTTTCAATTGTGTATAAAGGCCAGGAGTCGTGACACTGAAATATATATATATATATATATATATATATATATATATGTATATATATATGTATGTATACACAGTATTGATTGCTGTTTTTTTTTTGGTATGATGGTCAATATTTTTGCAAGTGTTTTTATATCATTCTCAGGTATCTGAAACTTCAAATATCAAATCCAGTGGAAACGACTCTATATCATCAATAAATATGTTTTTAAAACTAATATCAGCTGCATTTGCATGGTGTCAGAACAATACAGGGTTGCACAAACAGCACAAGTGGCTAGCCTATATTTTAATTTTGTAATATTGCATAAATGCTGTTGCCCAACAAAATGCTGCCATGTTTACCAACAAAACAATGCAGCCTGTGAACAATATACTGTTGTGTTTTTAGATAAAGACACAGACATTTGGATGCTTAATGCAGGTAATCACCCTCATAGCATTTTACTGACTTTACACTGCAGCAGGTTACATCACACTTGTAGTCTTCTGTGTCATCTTGTGGCAGCCATTTTAGTATTTTCAGCTGTGTGTGAAATATTACCTCTGTTTCTGATGACAGCATAACTTTTTTTATACTGGTAGATGAGCATTATGGGCATGCACAGCATCAGAAAGAGCAACAGAAAAATCTAGGGACTCAATGCACCTTACAGTACCATATCAATTCTCTCCTGAGTAACAAAATGGCCCTTGCTTTGTGTGCCCAGCTTGCTCACTTATCTGTATTAAAACTCAGCTCAGAACTACATGGAGGAGGAACAGGAAGAGTTCTGACATTGGAAAGTCTGCACACTGCACTGTGATAGGCTAAAAATGTACCTAGCAACGCGACAGCCAATGAGAATTCGAGAATATGTCCAAGTCCCGCCCACGTTTGACCTCACTTAAAGCGGAAGGTGCCATGCACTTCCGAGTTTTGTCATGAGGCTGCTCGTGGTGCAGTCTTATTATTAATATTTAGATATAAGTAGGTTAGTTCCAACAAATGAATTCATAATGTCCTACAGTTTTAAGCTAGTTCTATAAATGTCAGGATACAGACTGTTGATTTATTTACACAGTAAGGAAATACAAATAAAAACGTGTTTGGTTCTTGGAGAGAAAACACACGCCCAATAGATGAAAGAAGAAATAAGCTCCTATAATATTTGAAAGAAACGAGAAATAATCCTGTATATTATTTGTATTCTTTGGAAGACACACGCATTTATTTCTTAAGAAATCCATGTAAGGCAGAGATTCACACAGATTTATTTTAATGAGTGCTGTGACCCCTTGTGCCCAGACGAGGTACTTCATGCAGAGAAACCCAGACAGAAGTCACCATACAGATATTAAGCCTTAACCCTAACCACCACATTAATGTATTATAGCCCAAAATAGATGTGATTGTTGATAACATTATGGAGAATGTTTTTTCTTGTTTCAATACACTTTATTATCACTCATTGTATTTTGTGTACATAGTATATATATTATTATTTATTTGTTTATTGTGAAAAACCTTATTTCCCTTAGAATCATTTAAATGAAAACATATGAGAATAACAAAAATCACCATAGCTGTAATGAGGGGTCACATTTTAGGACACTGCTTCATTTTCAGGATCTTTAAGCTAACCTTTTTATGAACCATTTGCAAAAAAGTCTTAATTCCTCCAAACATATGTTAAAAGTATATTGAGGAAATGTCCTGGGCCTTGGGCTCTGTTTTTTGTGTGATCTTTTCTTTTAAACTCCACTTGATTATTTAAAAAAATGGTATGTTAGCAGAGAAGACATATTTTAATACTACCCATTTAAATAAGTGATGCCTTGTTAATATACAGTTAAGCTTAGTTTATGTTTGTTCTTTCAGCAATTATGGCACCTCAAAAGCTTTACAAAATGACTGTAAGAGGATTCGTGTGCTTTAGAGAGAATGAGGTTATTATAAGACTGTTAGCTGACTAAGGAACATGCTGGGTGATGTAATTATGTTTCTGTTTCCTCCAGGTTCTCCATGTATTAGTGATGGTGTGTGCACTTTGAGTTTGAATTTTAAAACACTTAAGTGTCTGCCACCACTTTACTTGTATATGTCACATGTTGTTGTTGTTGGTTGTACAGAATTATGTAAAAAAAAAAGAAGGTCAACAGTGCAAGATGGAAAGAATGAACATGTTCTTGTTCCTGTAGCAATTCAGCCTCCGGAGAATCCAACCGCTCTGCGTCCGAGTCGGGGAGTCGGTCAGAGAGCGAGCATGGCAGTGAGCGGAGGAAATCCCACAACTCTGAGTCAAACAGCTCCTCAGAGTCTGAGAGTCACTCAGAGTCAGGGAGCGAGTCTGCAGGGTCCAAATCACAGCGAACCACAGAAGAAGCAAAAGATAAGCCAGTTAAAAAGAAGGAGCGCCTGGCTGACGTAAAGAAGGTAAAGGTCACTGAACTTTAGAGAGGTACCTAAATCCTCTTACTGTTTCTAAAGCGAGCAAAGGGGACTGTCAATTTATACTGCAAATTGGGTCACCTTGGGTAATCCTGCCTTCAATCTTAATGTGATTATGATGGTCTAAAATGCAGAAAGGATGTAGCTCGAGATATACGTTATCATTTTTGTATCCATTGTAGAGTTCTGCGGTCTCCCAGTTCTAGACTGCATCTTAATCTAAACAGATTAAGTTCACATTGTAAAACTGACAAAGTATGCTCAAAATAGTAAGTAAGCATACTAGAACATTTGTGGTGCGTTGATGTACACACATGTACGATAATGCAGTGCAAAGCCAATTGAGGCACTGCTCAGCTAGTTAAGAGCAGTAGTGGTAAGTGGCAACAAATGTCTAGGAAAACCAAAACAAGCTTAATTGTTAATGAAAACAAATGTGGTCTTTCAATGCTGCAGTATTGATTGATCCTCAGCAGCACAAATATCTGGAACTGTTTGTCCATAATAATCTATAAGGGACACTATCAGAAAAAATGGCCAGCACTTATTTTGACAATTGATAACTCTTCCATGTTATTTTTTAATAAATGCCAAGAAGATCCCTATAGGTATAGATGTTCAATTGTGAATATTTACAGCTGTTCTCTGTTTTATAAGTTGAAAACTGTATATTTTTGAATGTTCTTAGTTGACTGGGCCACGGTCTTTAACCAATTATAATTTATTGAACAACATTTAAATTCAGACAATAATCACACAGTGAAAGTAATGTAGATTTGCAGCCAGATAGCAGTGCAGAATGGAATATGGACACCATATCTTAGTGTAGTGATACAGAAAATCACAATTCTGATAGCAGTCGATCTCTCTACAGATGTGGGAAGAACATCCAGATGTCTACGGGGTCAGGAGGTCAAACCGCAGTAGACAGGAGCCGGCTCGTTTAAACATTGGAGCTGAGGTAAGCAGAAGCATGAAAAAGGAAACAAAGAAACAACAACAATAATATACACATTATTTTCTATTGGCATCAACATCAAGCCACTTGTGCCACCTAGTGGACATTTAAAGAAGTGCTGTTACATTTAATTTGGAAACAGCTCTCACTGAAATATACACCTGCCTTGCTGACTGTATTTACAGGGTAGCAGTGGCTCAGAGAGTGAGAGTCCCAAGAGGAAAACACCCCGAACCAAGAAAAAAGAGTAAGTTAAAAGACTGCAAACATCTTTAATTTTATGGTTTATCATTATTATATTTATTTTACATGTATTTGTTAGTATAGCCCTATATGCTTTCAATTATTGAAAGTATTTAAAAATATTTTTGTTATTTAACACTTGATCAGCAATTTTTCACAATTCATGCCTGTGTTTGTCATTGTGTTGTCAGTCTGTGCTCACATTGTGCTTCCTATTATCATCTTATCAAACCTGTCTGTAAATGGGTATCTGCGTGTTCTCCATGCGCTCAGTTAGTTTCAGACAGACGGCAGAGGTTCTACATTTAAATCAAATTTGATTGTTCATATGTTCAGCTTATCCCTGATCAAATTGGGTTTGGGTGAACACCCTGTAGCCAAAATTATGAAATTCAAATTTGGTAATAGAAGTGATGGGCCTTGAGGGTGAACTTGTGGTATTTCTTTGTTGTAAGAAATATCTGGAAAGATGATGACTCTAATGATGAAGACGAGGAGGAGGAAGCTACGGACAGTTCAGACAGTGAGCAGGAAGAGAAAAAAGTTAGATCCAGACGACTTCCTGCTAGAAGGTAAGAGCTTAGCGAGGCCTGGCCATCAGACAGCTACCCACTGCTCATCTCCAATTCATTCCATATTGTGTGAGACATTTTCATTTCCCCCTTTTTACTTTGTTTCAAGTACAAACCTTAAAGCTGTAGCCAGATGTTCTAAAAAATGTAAATGTTATAATATCATAAGACATGAAAGAAATATTCTTTTGATTTCAAAGTAATGTGCCCCCCTACTGTTGGCTGCACGTTGTCAACCAATAGAGACTAAATGATCTGACAAATGGTCCAGGAGTTTGGATGCTTATCTCTAAGGGCTTTGGTGCTTTGTGTTTTTACAGACCTCAGACCAAATCATCAACGGCCAAAAAGCAGCTGTCTCAAAAAGGCAAGAAGTCCAGGAAACAGGACTCGTCTGCTGAAGAAGACGACGATGATGAAGACGATGACGACGACGATGATGAAGACGATGAGGACGGCACTCCAAAGAGACAAACTCGAGGAAGGACTGCAACCAAAGTGAAGAGGTGCATGTTCTCAGAGATTTAGATATCGGGTCCTCTTGCATTTAATGATTGGCTCATGTGTGCCAGCTACTTTTATTTTGAATGTCATGTCATGCTTTGGATGGAAGTTAAAAAAATATACTTTTTTAATATCAGTTTCTAACTTTCTAGCTGAAAAAGGAGCTTTTCTATTATACTTAATTATATATAGTCTACATTTATACTGTATAGTCTTTTGGCACATACTGTCTTTTATCAGTCATTTCAAGTCCCCTTATGCCCAAAGACTAAATATCGTATGATAATAACTCTTAGAAACTAAAAGAAGCAGTATAAAGTCATTCATATTTATATCAAAAGATACAAATTATAAAATGAACCCACAAACAATCTGACTTTGACCTAATTTACATCGGTGCCCATTTCAAGACTATTTATAGAAAATGTAGTGTTTGGGCACGAATGTGTTCAACAGGGACATAAAGTTTAATCTTCTGGACTCCAGCATAACATTTTCCACTTGTCCTTACCCCCTGTTCTGTTTTACTACAGTTATAAAGAGGACCAACATGACTTTGAAACAGACTCTGATGACCTGATCGAGATGACAGGGGACGCTTGTGAGGAGCAGCTGGATGATGACAGTGAGACCATTGAGAAAGTGATGGACACCAGGACAGGCAAAAAAGCAGGTGATGCATTTTCAATCTTCTTAAACTATTATTTAAACCATGTTGTGTGGGATTGAATTACTCTTCGCCCAATGCACACTATAGTAAAGTTGTTCTTCTTTTTTCTAGCCACTGGTGCCACCACTACAATGTATTCTGTGGAGGAGAACGGGGACCCAAATGGAGGCTTTGACCCCGAGAAGGATGAGGGGGAGACTCACTATCTGATCAAGTGGAAGGGCTGGTCCTACATCCACAACACATGGGAGAGCATGGACACTATGATACAGCAAAAGGTCAAGGGACTTAAGAAACTGGACAACTTCAAGAGGAAACATGACGAGCTCTCTTCATGGTTAGGATCTTTCTCCTTTATGTTACACTTGTTTGTTTTTGTTTGCAGAACCATCTTTCGAGAATTTGAACTTTGAACTCTTTTCTTGTTTGTAGGATGAGGAGGGCGTCCCCTGAGGATATAGAGTTTCATAACTGCCAACAGGAGCTCATATCCGACCTGAACAAGCAGTTTCAGTTTGTGGAGCGTATTATTGGTAAGAACTCAGTATCAAATGTAATTGCCTTTGTCCGGTAGTGCTCCAGATAATCCATTTGTTGCACTTACTAAAATACATTTTGTTCTATTAACAGCAACAAAAACAGCAAAGACACCAGGATCTGTTGACTTCCCCTGTAAGTCTCCTTTTTTAATTCTTCACTTTTCTTCACCGTTACATTAAGTTGGCTACGTTTTTTTAAATGTTCCCCTCTGGTATACAATTCTATCTTTTTATTTATTTGTTGCAGTTGTCTTTTTCTAATCATTTGTCTGCTTTGTTCAACAGCTCATAGTCACAAGAATCCGTCCTCCGATGAGCCAGAGTACCTCTGTAAGTGGATGGGTTTGCCCTATTCAGAGTGCAGCTGGGAAGATGGAGCTTTGGTTGGTAAGAAGTTTCAGCACTGCATCGACAGCTTCCTGAGCCGAAACTCCAGTAAAACCGTCCCATCCAAAGACTGCAAGGTGAGAGTCAAATCACCCAAAATGGTCTTATTTTCATTCGTCTTGAACACTTCCCTTTTCCTGATATTATTCAATTCACTCATCCTAATCAAAGAATTGTGTTTGTTATTATCACTTCAGGTGTTAAAGCAAAGACCGAGGTTTTCTGCTCTGAAGAAACAACCATCGTACATTGGAGATGAAAACCTTCAGCTGAGAGATTATCAGCTGGATGGGTTGAACTGGTTAGCTCATTCCTGGTGCAGGTACTGTGTACATGAGAATCATAACTTGTGTAATAATGGCACGTAGTTAAATCTTATTTGAAAAATTGGCATCTTCTTAAAAACCATGCCTATTTTCTTATTCTGCGTCCTCAGGTGCAACAGCGTTATCCTGGCAGATGAGATGGGGCTTGGAAAGACCATCCAGACCATCTCCTTCCTGTCGTACCTGTTCCATCAGCACCAGCTGTACGGACCCTTCATCGTGGTGGTGCCTCTGTCCACGCTCTCCTCCTGGCAGAGAGAGTTTGAAACCTGGGCCCCCGACATGAACGTGGTGGTCTACCTCGGGGACGTCATGAGCAGGAAATCGGTGTGTTGAATTCTGATTCTCTCACAATCTGCTGGAATCTTAAAAGTTGGTTACATTATCTTACATTGTCTCTGCTCCTTTTAATGTAGATTCGTGACTACGAGTGGGTGAACCACCAAACGAAGAGAATCCGGTTCAATGCACTATTAACTACTTATGAGATTGTACTTAAAGACAAGGTGGGTGCAGGGATCAGTATTTGCATTTTGTGTTGATATATTTGTCGTGTAGTATGTTTGTGAAGGACAAGAATTCATCACTTTGGTGACTTTTCCCTCTAGGGGGTCCTGGGGAATATCAACTGGGCGTTCATGGGTGTGGATGAAGCACACAGGCTGAAGAATGACGACTCCCTGCTGTACAAAACATTAATGGAGTTCAGGTCCAACCACAGGCTCCTCATCACCGGCACTCCGCTGCAGAACTCCCTCAAAGAGCTCTGGTCCCTGTTGCACTTTCTCATGCCTGACAAGTACGTCCTGGCTTAGACCTTTAACATGATACTGGAGAAATGCAGGGGAACGGCATCGGGTTTGAGTTCCAGCCGGGGATGAGTGACGTTTGTTATCTATGTCGTGCACAACAGGTTTGCTTCCTGGGAGGATTTTGACGATGCGCACGGGAAAGGAACTGATAACGGTTATCAGAGTCTTCACAAAGTCCTCGAGCCCTTCCTTCTGCGACGTGTTAAGAAAGACGTGGAAAAATCTCTCCCTGCCAAGGTGGAACAGATCCTCCGTGTGGACATGACTGCACAGCAGAAACAATACTACAAGTATGAATTCATTTCTGTCTTTTGTAACTTTTACAACATCCATCTTCGCAAACATCTTGTACAAGAAGCTGCATGTCTCTCCCCATTAACTTTTTCCTCAATATTTCCAGGTGGATTTTAACGAGGAATTACAGAGCCCTTTACAAAGGCCCTCGAGGCAGCTCCTCCGGCTTCCTGAACATAGTTATGGAGCTTAAAAAGTGCTGCAACCATAGTTTTCTCATAAAACAGCCGGAGGAAGTAGAAAATGAAACACAAAAGGAACACATGCTGGTAAGTGTCCTTATGAACCCTCTTTAGCTCCCAGAAACACCTCAGGACATCTCTGCTCCATTAAAGAAACGAGTTGTGACGTAACCAAGATGAAAACTACATAGTCCCAAAATAATGCTCAATGCTGCCTAATTATTAATGACTGCCTCACTTTGTATCTCTACAGAGTGTAGTGAGGGGCAGCGGGAAGTTGGTGCTGCTGGACAAGCTGCTGACCCGACTCAGAGAAAGAGGAAACAGAGTCCTGATCTTCTCTCAGATGGTCAGGATGTTGGACATTCTGGCTGAATATCTCGCCAAGAATCGCTACCCATTCCAGGTAACATTAATCAGGGAGTTTGTATATAGAGCAAGATGCTGGGAATAATCCATGTTAATTGTATGGTACTGTAGTCGTTCTGAGTGATGCTATCAACATAGGAAGACTAATTCCACTTAATATGAGTTTGTTCTTACTCCATCTGAGGAAGGGCTACTGTATCATGTAGAAGGACAACACGAGCACAACGCTCTGCTTGTTAGGTGTTCACTGATTCAAATCCCAGCTGTTTTTTCTGGTAAAATGAAGTGCATGTTGGAACATTGATTACCCCTTTCATTATAATTAGCAGAAAAAGGCCAATTTATACTATTACATTTAGTGTGTTAAGTTTATATTTCCATCAGGTTCCATTAAGGTTTTCTACAAGAAAGTTGAAACACCTGCAGCACCAGTTTCTCCAGGAGCTGTGTCTAGCCTGAAAGATCATTTTTGATTGTTGTGTTTATCAGTGTTTACAGTGCAGGGGGCTTTTTCAGTGTTTGTGTTGTAGGGTTGGACTTGAATAAGGATCAGATGTCAGTGTTGATGCACACATGCTGTGCCAAGCTGAGAGATCATGTGGTTATTTATATCAACAAGTTATTTTCTGCTGAAGATCAGTCTAACTCCTGCAAGTCACTCCACTCGGGTTGTTTTTGCTGACTTGGTCTTCAGCGTTAACTGTTCTGCGATCAGTCTGAGCATATAGACCGGGTCATGGCATGTTACCTGTTAAGCTTACTGATACCAAGGTAACAGCAGATAGCTGTGCGGGCAATCGCAAATGTTTATTTTCTTTCCTCTTCAGCGGCTGGATGGTTCTATAAAGGGGGAAATCCGAAAGCAAGCACTTGATCACTTTAATGCAGAAGGCTCAGAGGTATGTGTAATAATAATGTGTTGATACAGAATGTTATTATTAAAGTTATATGTGTATTTGTATGTATGCATGTATGTATAATATCTCAACAACAGGCTTATCTTATTGTGATTATGCTTTAAACAAACATACAGTACTTTGTTTTGCTTGCGTTTTTAATGTATAAATGGTGTAAAAAAAAAGAAAAGTTTTATACATGAGTACTGGAAAAAGAAGTTTGAGGTTGAAGTAGATTGGATTAGTCTTTTTCCCATTTTACTCTTATTATTCACAATGCATTATTGCTCTAGGAGTATATTAACAGTTATATTTGTTTTCCAGGACTTCTGTTTCCTGCTGTCCACCAGAGCTGGAGGTTTGGGGATAAACTTGGCCTCGGCAGACACCGTAGTGATCTTTGACTCTGACTGGAACCCTCAGAACGACCTGCAGGCTCAAGCTAGGGCTCACAGGATCGGACAAAAGAAACAGGTAATGCATGACTCAAAGTGTCCGCTTTCACTGTAGATACAGAATTTAAACGTGTAGTAAGTAATAAAACAAAATCTTTGCTTTTCATAGGTCAATATTTATCGACTGGTCACAAAAGGCACAGTGGAGGAGGACATCATCGAGAGGGCAAAGAAAAAGATGGTTTTGGACCATCTCGTCATTCAGAGGATGGACACTACTGGTCGAACTGTTCTGGACAGCAACTCTGGGACCACAAAGTAAGATGTCAGAAATCACCTTGTTAAATATTTAGATTCTACAGCTCTTTGTGTGTTAACGTTGCTGCCTTTTGTTTTTAACAGTTCAAATCCATTCAACAAAGAAGAACTGACTGCCATCCTCAAGTTTGGTGCAGGGGAGCTTTTCAAAGAGGCCGAAGGAGAGGAGTCTGAACCACAGGTATTCAAGTTACCAAATTAATTAATGCATTCAGAGGACTTTTTACATATTGATAAAGTTAATCAAGAATGTATTTCTTTCTGTAGGAAATGGATATTGATGAGATCCTGAGATTGGCAGAAACGAGAGAAAGTGACCAAGGCTCCAGTGCTACGGACGAACTTCTATCTCAGTTTAAGGTAACTGTTACAGTCATTTAAAGAAATCCTAATCTGAAATCATTTCAATGTCAGGTCTGTCCCAATGTTCCTCTCTTTCAACTTCTAATGTGTTCCTTTGCCGTCTCTGCAGGTTGCCAATTTCTCCAGCATGGAAGAGGCCGCTCCAGAGCCACTGGAGAAGCCGGGGCGGGAATGGGACGATATCATCCCTGAAGAGCAGCGACGCAAAATTGAGGAAGAGGAGAAGCAGCGAGAGATGGATGACATCTTCATGCTGCCCAGGAGCAGGAGCTCTAACAAGAGGGTAAGAAGAAGGAATCAAATATTGTTCCTCTTTAAATGATTTGATTCTATCTTCCAGCAGCTTAGTTGAATCGGGTCATAATGTGTTTCTCTCTTCACATTCAGGCTCAGGCCAATGACAGTGACAGTGACGTCGGCTCCAAGCTGAAGAACCGCTCCTCAGGCTCCGAGAGTGAGACTGACGATAGCGATGACGACAAGAAGCCAAAGAGGAGAGGCCGACCCAGAGCCCGCAAAAACAACGTGGAGGGTTTCACTGATGCAGAGATCCGCAGGTAAAGAGTTTAGTAAGCATTTATTATTTCTTTGTATCAGAGTTACATGCACGGAATTAAAATGTGCTTTTATTGACAGGTTCATTAAGGCTTACAAGAAATTTGGATCACCGCTTGAAAGGTAAGCATTGTTAAATGATTTTGATAAATGCAAGGCTACATCATTTGATTGCTTGGTTTGAGAAACAGCCTGATTGCTCATACTTAAACAATGAAGTGCCTCTTTCTGAATCCAGATTGGAGGCCATCGCAAGGGACTCTGAGCTCGTCGACAAATCCATAGCAGACCTGAAGAGGCTCGGTGAACTCATCCATACTAGTTGTGTGACTGCAGTGCAGGAGCATGAGGAACACCTTAAAGAAAACCCAGTGGAAGGTATGTCAGTTTACCTGTTTCGAGTTATTTTAGGTCATAGCTCTGCTCCAGGCTCAAAAATCAAACATGTTGTTCCTTTTCCAGCCAAAGGTCCTGGGAAACGGCGAGGAATCAACATCAAGATCTCGGGAGTGCAGGTCAACGCCAAGACCATCATCCAGCATGAGGAAGAGTTTGAGCCCCTGCACAAAGTGGTGCCCTCAAACCCTGCCGAGAGAAACCAGTAAGAGACCACTGAAGACACAAGGAGGAGCTCAGGGGTCGCATTGGATAACATTTAGAGAAATACATTTGTGTTGCAGATTACATTTGACATGTCTCTTCTTCCCACAGGTTCAATCTGACATGCAGGGTCAAGGTGGCCCACTTTGATGTAGACTGGGATCTGCCAGATGACGTGCAGCTCCTGCTCGGCATCTATGAGCACGGCTTTGGAAACTGGGATCTGATCAAGACGGACCCTGACCTTAAACTCGCTGATAAGGCAAATGTCTAATTTCTAACCCTTAAAAAAGGAAAAATATCTAAATGTAAAAATATAAGAACACATTTAGGCCCAAAAGAATACATTTATCTTTTGAATTTGAACCAAATCTGGCATGCATAAAAGTTGTTAAATCAGTATCTGGTTTAAAAATCTAAGGATTTGGTTATACTTCTCTGTTCATGTTGATTTGCACTTAATCACCATAACCTGCACCTCCTTTCTTCAGTCTAACGTTTCACTTCCCTCGGCACAGATTCTCCCAGTCGACCCAGGCAAGAAGCCTCAGGCCAAGCAGCTGCAGGCGAGAGCCGAGCATCTTCTGAAGCTGCTGAAAAAGGAACAAGACAATTCAGAGTCTAAAACAGGGGAGGAGGTACGCTGCCATTAATCACAGAGTTACTCATACATACCCTCTGAAGTTTGCCTTTGAACTACCTCCCACACAGCTCTAACCGCCTCTTCCTCCAAAGGTCAAAGTGAAGAAGAGGAAGCCTCGGGTGAAAAAGGAGAACAAGACTCTGAAGAACGAGCAGGGCAACGACATCTCCTCCCCCCGCCTGTCCGACATCCCGTCAGAGGAGGGCGAGGTCAAGGTCAGTGTCACCTTCACGTCTGTAGAGTCCAGGCTTAGAAATGCTTTTCTACTCCCTCCCATTCATGTGTTTGTAGCTCTGCTCCTCCTTAAACAATGTTACTTGAATAAGTGGCTATGCTTTGAGAGAACGAGAACGAGAGTGGAAACCATTTTTTGCTTTTACTAAGGATAAACACATTTAATGTAGTGACCCAGCAAAGCCAATACAAAGGCAAACCTTCTGATAATAAAGCTAAATACAGCATTTTTTAGGGAAGGTTGCTAAACACTTTATAATATTCACAATATGAATGTATACATATTGTAATGCATACATCAGTGGGCCATAGGCTCAATAATCACTATTGTTACAAGGAGATAGTTACCGACTTGCTACTTCGGCAAAGACGTGTTTTTCAGCTTTAATTTGAGATAAACAACGCAATGGTACATTTGATCCTTAAATCCTTGTCCTCTCTCATTGTATGAATTCTGTTGTTATATTGTTTAACATGCTTTGTCTTTCCTCGTGTTTGCGCAGGATGATGGAACAGAGAAGTCCCCCGCCAAGAAAAGACAAAAGAAAAAGGACAACAAAGAGAACAAAGAAAAACAGGGAACACCTAAAAAGGAGAAGGACGGGGACAAAGAAAAAAAGGGTGCTAAGCCCAAAAAAGAAAAGGTATTTCAGCAAAGTATTCATGACCTTATCATGTGTGCTTTCCTCTAACGGTTTCTAATCAACATGGACAGAAGGTTCATGGAAAACAGAATCTCATTGTAGCATTAATATGCAGCAAGGGGCTTAAAGACCATAGCAAATCATAGGGATACGCACTTTAGCTCATCCTGTAAGTAATTGATTCAAAGTTCGAGTGGATGTGGGTTAGTTGTCTTCATGTCTGGTGTTTGTTGTAACTCAGGCTAAAGCAGCCAAAGGGAAGAAGAATCAAGGTCCGGTTCACATTACAGCTGGTTCTGACCCCGTTCCCATCGAAGGAAAGGACGATGATGAACTGGACCAGGAGACTTTCAGTGTTGTGAGTTTCTTCTTTAATTCCTGTGCCAATATTAAACCCGTAGACTTTGATAAGTAACATGGGAACATTACATTACACTAATTCCTGCCATTCGTGCACATGTACAGTGCAAGGAGCGCATGAGGCCGGTGAAAAAGTTCCTGAAGCAGCTGGATAAACCAGATGAGGGTCTGTCTGACCAGGACCAGCTCCAGCACACTCGCACATGCCTGATGAAGATTGGAGACCGAATCACAGAATGCCTTAAAGCCTACAGTGACCCCGAACATGTCAAGATATGGCGGAGGTAAGAGGGTTAGATATTACCCTTTTGGAATTGAATGACATGCTTTCTTGTTAAACATTGAGGATTATTTGTTCCTTTTTGCAGAAACCTCTGGATCTTTGTGTCCAAGTTTACGGAGTTTGGTGCTAGGAAGCTTCACAAGCTTTACAAAATGGCACTGAAGAAGCGTTCACACGTGGAAGAGGCAAGTGCTTCCTATTTCTAGATCTTACACTCCTGGTTAATCAAGTGTTACGAAGTAGGCATGATGTTTTGGACAGCACTGAAATATCCTGTGACATTTCCAGAAGGAGCAGAAGAAAAAGGAGGATTCTGGAGGCAGGGGGAAAAACTTCCGACCCGAGCCCTCTGGTTCCAGTCGAGACTCCACAGGAAATCAGTCGTCCTCCAAACCGGGATCTCACTCCACTCAGCCGGGAGCCCACGGGCACCACAGAGAGCCGTACAACTCTGCTAATAAACGGCACTTTGGCAACGATGGTACGTGCAGATTGAAATATTTTAGGCCCAGAAAACCCTGAGCAAGTGAGCATTAATGGGCTTGAGCGCGGCTGGCAGGGAGATCTTATTTACATTGGAAAGAGGCAGGCTAGCTGTTTCAAGTCTTTGTGCTAAGCTAACCGTGTCCAGGCTCTTGCTCATTTAACTCTCAGCAAAAAAAAAAGAAAAGTTTCTCAAATTGTTAGGACTATTCCTTTAATAGAAGTTACTTAATACATGACAGAATTTTCTTTGTTGAATATCACTTTTATTACAGATCGAGGGGACTGGCAGAGGGACCGTAAATACAATTACCCGAGTAACAGCAACCAGTCGTGGCAGGGAGATCGACATCATCAGTATGACCGCTACAAGGATCACTATGGAGACCGACGTCCTCATGGAGACTCGTACCGCAGCAGCTCAGGGGGTTACCGCAACAGCAGCTCCCCTCGTAAACGGCCTTATGAGCAGTACAGCAACGACCGGGACCACCGGGGTCAGAGACCCTACTATGACAGGTGAGAGTTACTCATTCATTTGAATGTTTTATGTTATTTTATGTTTTGTTACATTTTCTTGTGACACCAAATGAAGCCTGCACAAATTAGATAAGTCCAGAAATGTTCAACTTGCTGTTCCCGAAAAAATATTATCCTTAGCAGAGTATTTTTTTACTCACTTTAAAATGTGTACTGAGGGACTTTTAATGTCAGGGTATTTTTATGTCATACCACTGGTTTTTTAAAATGATATAATTTATGTTTCAGGCATTCAGATCCCAAAAGAAGACGTCCTGATGAATTCCGTCCTAACCACCACCAGGGCAGGGAGGGTCCTCTCCAGGACTTCAGGAGGCCTGCAGGTCCCCCCGGCTCCGAGCACTACAGCAGACACTCTGACAAACCCTCACTGGACCCTCGCTCCCCACAGACGCAGAAGTCTCCGCAGGACCCGCGCTCTTCCCCGGAGCGGCCTGCAGAGCCCAATGAAGCGGCAGACTCTACCTGGAACAACAGGAAAACATAAAAAGTGCACCAGTGCAGACCGAGGACAGATCTGGGTGTTTTGTCCAGGGTCACAAACATGCTGCTGATGGACAAGTCTGGACACAGTAGGAAAGGGATGTTCCCTTTTTACCAGCAAAACTCTGTTGCTCTTTTCCCCCAAATGACTGTGGCTGGGAATGATGCCCTGATGGAAGTATGCTTTCCTTCTGTCGTCTCCAAGATGAAGAAAAACGTTCTCAAGCATCTTTGTTTAAATGAAGTGACTCAAACCAGTGCTTTTGGATGCTTAGTCCCATGGACTATTTTCTAAGAAGAATTTAGGATACATGAACTGCTGACTGATCTCAATCCTAAAAGTGCCTGAAGGCTTCAGCCTTTCTGAATGGTGTATGGGATTATTCCCAGATGAGGCATGAGATGGACATATATTTTTGTGTTAAGCTTTAAAACTTGCAAATGATGTCGTTGGGATATTTCAATACAAACAAATGTGTTTTCATCTGCACCTTCATTATGTTTATCTTGAACATGTAGCTGAACTGAATCCCCACTTTAAACAGGTGGTGCAATGGCATGGCCCTGTTATGTTATTTGAATGATCAATGAAGCCAGTATGTTTACTCTACAAAACACTCAACAAAATCATTTTAGAAAATTCACATTGCTCATGTGTACAAATAATAATAATAATAATTTCTGTAACCGTGTAGTTATATAAATCAAGGCAATCCTCTTGCTTTGTTCACTTTAACCACTTTCCCTCTTAGTAGGCCCAGTGAAATAGAAGCAGTATTTATTGCCACAACTTGTGCAAAGGCTCATAACACTATTACTTAGAACAATCCTTTATTTGTTGCCTTTCAGTATTCTGATAGTTAAGAATGGTACTTCAGTGTAGTTGCATTAATTCATCTCTCAGTATGTAAGTATTCAGAAAATAATATTCTGATAAAACCTCTTCTCTCTTTATCTATGGTTTGGAAATTATGTTGTTAGATTGTTCAAGGGTTACCAGGAAGTTGCTGATAACATTTGATTATGTGTATTACCTCTGGTCAACCTTTATCCGTGCCAAACCTGCTCTGGCCCTCAATGTTTTTTTTTACGCTTCTCCATCTGTGCCTTATTTATGTGTGTATTATCATATTGTTCATTAACAGTCCTGGGGCCCGACAGGCGGGGTGTAGTATTACAGTCTGATTTTAAGGACATTGCTCTGAATGAACTGGTTAAGGGACCATGTATTCTGGTAAGCATCCTGTGGTTTCCAAAAGAGCTGATCATTTGAGGGAAAAAACATAGATATAGGTATGATGTGTGTGTGTGTGTGTGTCTGTGCAGGGCTCTTAGCCGACCTGTTACAGTGAACAGCCAGCACATCCTCTCCACGTTAAGCAACTTACAGTTTCTGTATCATGTTCTTTAGGAAAGTCTAAATAATTTATATTTGTGACAAAACCACTCTTCATGAGAAATGATCTGTACATATGTTTGGACATATGTAATAAACTTTGTTACACAATGAAAATGTGCCTGTTTGATTTTTTGAAGGCAGACTCGAAGACAATATACCTGATTTCATTATCTAAATTGCATTATCATATTGTGTGTTACAAAAAGATACTACTTTGTAGTGTATTTAATTGTATTATAACATTGTCTCGATTTGCAATTTTGCACAAATAAAAGTTTAATTTACTTGTGAATGGGATAAAAAAAATAAGAAATTCAATTACAGGATATGTTATCATATCTAAAGATAACGAGTTTGTGAGTTTGCAATTAAATATATTTTCTTATGGCAAAACCATTTCAGGTTAATTATCTTGTATATAAAGCTTTCCTGTTGTATGTTAAGATGTATTGACATTAAATCTAAGATATGCATGACTTAATGACAAGGTATGCATGAAGCAGTCCTATTGGCTGATTCACTGCCTGAGCTAGGCATGATCAACCTTTGTCACATTTGTCTTTCACTTAAATGTTGCGGATGAAACATTTTGCTTATTTTAATATTTAGAGATGTATATTTTCTTACCAAAGACTTCTTCGTTTTTATCTTAAGTCAAAAACGGTTGCATCTGCTCACATGCGTCACTACATCTCTACAGCAGGGGGCAGTCTAACACTGGAGACTGTTACCAATACATACAACTCCCACTGAGACTAGAGGACACATCATTAACAAGACATTTTCTTTTATTCAATAAATAATTTACAGTATGAACAGCTGGCGTGTGGCACCACATTTTCTTTACATACAAACACAGTTTGATCTTTCTGGCATTTCCCATTTAGCTGTTTTTAAAACTCTTTTCTACCATTACAAGTCTGACACAGAATTACAAACGAAATAAGAGCTAAATGGAAAGGAAAACATAAAGTGCTTTAAATTCAAAAACATGAACACCCCAGAATTTGTTCCTACATTCCTTTTCTAGATAAGGTGGGCTGCATTTAGCATGTTTTATGTAAAGTAATGACAGCCGGCATTTTATCCCTTTCTCCACAACCACTACAGTAAGTGAGTATACTGTATTCAATCAAAAGTATTTTGTTCTGTGGTGTTCATGTTTTTGTAAAAATCCCTTTCAAATAAAAAAGGTTCACATTCACCAAAACATCTGAGATAAATTCAAAACACAACTGGTAATATACAAATATAAACTCACAAAACATATGTACAATCTCACATTTCACGTGTAGAACCATATACTGTAAAACTCACAACACAAATTACAGCTATTAACCAAAGATTCAACATTACAATCATTTGTTTTTTATGATTTTTTTTTGTTGTCAAACTGCACCAATACATGTTCCGAATAGCAGTAGTAAGGCCTGCCAAATACTTCAGTGTAAAAGTTAAATGACTGTGAAACTGTGCCCGAGTAGTAACTGTATCTACAGGGTGACTTACACATTAGCAGATACTGCAGGTGAGAGCCAAAGTTCAATGGAAAGTGTTATCATGAAACACAAGAAAAGCAAAGGGAAACTAATGCTGCTTTAACAGCGTTACTGTACTGCAAATCACCCACAAACACAAGTTGTATACAGTTATGAATCCCTCTAATGTGAATGTTTAAGACTGAACGATGGAAATTCAGATGCAAGGAAAATGTTGGCACAAGGGCTTGTTCTTTGGCAAAGACTTAAGCCATGAAAGCATGTCTATAGACGCATGCTTATCGTTTACGCACAGCTCAGCAGCACACTGGTAGTCCATAAAAAGCTGAACTGACTGGAGGTGACGTCTTTATAGCTAGTGCTAACAGTATCCACACCACTGGAGAAACAATTCACAAAATGCTTTCAAAGAGGTGATTCAGTTGGATTGGCTGATCTACATTCTGTAAACGCTATGAGTGCCCTTAACTAAGGTTGTTCTTCTGCTTTTCATGTTAGCTACATTCACATTACAGACGTTAAACACAAAACACTGTCTGATCAACATGTCGGCTGAAACAATGGAGTGAAAGGCCGTATGACACCGAAGAAGAAGATAAGTTATTATTATCAGTTCCCTTAAGGGATTTGCTACTAGGCTAACAGAGGCTATTTTTAACAGGACTGTGGAGCCTCGTCTTTTCTATTTCGGAGATTTTGGGTGCAACAGCAAGACATGGGAAAGAGTCCTCCCACTGGAGGTTTGTTCTGTCATTTCTAGGGACTCCTGCACCCACAAACACACAACATTAACCACAGACTCTGAATTCTCCCACACACACACACACACACACACACACACATACACACGAACACAACCAAACAATATGACCCATTAATCTCCACAGCAGACAACTGGAGACGCTGCTCTGACATCCTTTTGGCTGAGTGCTTCCTCCAAAAGGCTCAGGCTTTTCCAAAGCTGGAAACTAATCAAACATAGAGCTGCTTCTGGCCTTAGGTTAACAAAAGCCCCTGTCAGGTCCTTGCTCCGCCACATGAGCCACGGAGAGCTTCACTGGCTTGGCACCAATGAGTGGATCAGGAGAGGGAGGATCAGCAAACTCTTCTTTCTGCAAAAGATCATCTTGTCCGGCTTCCCATCGGCATGCAGGCCCGGTGAGAATGTGGGATTTAATCCCAGGTGGATATCCTGAGCTCTGGAGTAGCCGGGCTCTCTCACCGCTGCTCTCATCAAAGACCAGTCCTATGAAGCAGCTAAACACATGTGATGAAAGGTGGGGAGCACGGTGACCTCGTCTGGTCATCAGACTGAAGTCCAGACACGACAACACTACTAAAATGAGACATCACAGAACCAGAGCACTCTAACACTCACTGACAGATACACCATGAGGATCCTGTTGTGAAGGGACTATAGATGAGCTGTGCAACACTCAATCCACAATAAGACAGCAAGGACGTTGAGGAGAAGGAGTGAAAGGAAATCTTTGCCCCTCTGTGGCGCATTATTCAAAAAAGAATCCTTTTCATAGATGTGGTATCTTTTGCTGTTGGAGTGGAGCATTTTTACATCCTCAAAGGCGTAGTAGGCTGCCATTGTGAAGTTAATGTCTCCAGAGGAGAGGAGGTCAAACACACAGGACTGAAAGTACAGGTCCTCCACTGGGAGCCGCTCTTTGCACTTGGCCTTGGCAGACTGGTAGGTGAAGCCCTGAGCCGCGGTGCTGCGGGGCCTTCCTGTGCTCTGGGCCTCCGCAGACCGAGCCTTGAAGTTTCTGAAGTCAATGCGCTGGTTGGCCGGGCAGCCGTGAAGACAGAGGTACAAGTCCTGGTCATCTCCTTCCTCCACAGAATTCACAACTTCCTCCGGCATCCGCACAGCAAAGGTCAGGTAGCGTCCGACCTGCCGCACCACGATGGTTGTGCCGATGTACCTGGCCTGAATCTCCACGTGCTGCCCGGGAACCTTCTCCACCACGCGCAGAGTGTTGGCTCCATGGCGATCCCCTCCGTTCTTGGAGCCATCTGCAAAAGCAGCCGGCAGCTCATCGGTCTCTGCGTGATACATCTTCTGGTCCACACATTCCTGGAAGTTCTTAAAGATGATTGTCAGCTGCAGGAGGACAGAAAGTCATTAACATTCAGCTTAAATGATCGTATGCGTTTGCCTTTATGAACCTCACAAATGCAAGTATGCCATGTAGTTAGGGTTGGATACAAAATCCTTGTTAACTGCAGTAGATATTAGCAGCAGATTTAAAAAATGGAAGTGCTTATACTTTTGCATTAAGAACAAGTTTGTTCAATATGTACCACAACTCCACTTAAGTGTCACATTTCAGCACTGGCTCAACATGCGGGAGGCCAAGGTAAACGCCCTCAAAAACACGAGTCTCGGCCATGTAAAATCAGGTCTCAGTCAGCAGACACAAAGGCGATCCATTCATAGCGCTGAAAACCTGCCAGTGAACCCCAGAACTATGCTGCAGGGAGTGGAGCGGGGCCAGGACGCAGCGATACACTCCGCAGCTAATTAAGTGAGGCTGGGCAGAGCTCGGTTTCATCAGGACACCATGAGCCATTGTCAGAGCAGCGATAGCAGGACAACATAGGGACTGTCAGACAGAGTAGGGGGTCTACAAATACTCCATTAGCTTTACAATTCAGTTCTGTCTCAATTGGAACCAACCGTCTGCCAACATTTCCCACCTATATTAACTTCTGTTTTTTCCGCCTGCTTTAAATGAAAACAATCAAATCTAAAATGCCTCTATTATCCCTTCATCAGAAAAAGGTAAAAAAAAAACAGACAGTTGTATTTGCTGTAGCGAATCAGCACAGAGCTCTACTAATGCAAGTCCTTTAGAAGAGGGTGCCTTGTTTGCACAGGTGGCATTGGCTGCTGCCTTGTTTTCCCTTTGTCCAGAATCAAGATCTTAAAAAAAGAAATCTAATTGGCTTCCAAGAACAGCAATATAAAAATGTCATTACTTTAAAAGCTCAAAACCCCACAAATGCCTAATAGAGTATCATTAAGAAGCCTTGATTGCAGAAAATTGTACTTTCTACAAATGTGATTAAGGACAAAGTCCTTTTATACTCCGTCTTAAAAGTTAACTTATGATACTCTGCAAAGAGGCTGAGGTCCACAATCATTGCTGTCAAAACGTTGCCAAATCTGGAACAACTCTAACTGAACTTGCCAAATACAAATACTTGTACTTCTTTGTTTTTGACCTCAAGTTCTACTAGAAAGGCATTTCAGGGACAGCCATCCAAACTAACCAATGTACCATTAAACAAAACAACAATAATGAAGAATGCACTGCTGATAAAGCTATGAAGGAAAATATATCATAATGTAGAGAAAATATCTAAAGTCCTGCAGACACAACATGTCTAACTGTAATGTGCTCTGTGTGTAGACTTCACTGTAAGTAGGCCAAGCATCAGCCTGAGCCATCTACAGTGAAAAGTGAACATGGAGCCTCATGTTAACATTTGATGCAGAACTGCTGTTATAATACTAACATATCATTTATAAAGCTTATCAAGATCTTTGCAATTGAGCAGGGTTTGGCTTCGTTATCTGTCATTATGGATCTCATCCAAACACTAACCAGAGTTCACAGTTTGTGAGAGCAGCTTCTCTGTCAAACAGACCACATGAAAGAAGAGACTCGCACAAACAAAAACACGAGCGGCTACAGGTTTCCATGCAGCAGCACTGACCAGAAGTCACCAACAACTAACATGGTAAATCAGTGCAGCAAGGTGCAAGTAATCACTTCAATTATATATGATTATTTAAACAATTATTTAGCCTGGAAAATGTCAGGAAATATTATAGAATGCTAATTATTTACCCAAGCAAAAGTCCTCCAGTCAATACCAAACCAAATGTACTTCCAGAACTAATTATTGCAGTATTAGCAAAGCAATTTTCTGTTGATTGTGGAGCTGAAATTTGCTTGATTTGACAAAATGTGTTTCATTTTTATCGTTTTATATGATTTGGAATATTTTTAAGTTTTAGACTGCTGGTCGAACAAAACAAGACTTATGTCACCATGGAAGTTTGAAATATTGTATGGATGCAGCTCTAGTTGACCAATAGAAGTGTTGTTTATCGCCTGATTGGACCACAATTTAGGACATCATTAAAGGACCCCCACCTTGCTTGTTGCGGTGGCCATAGACCCCGGCACCACAGGAGTGTTGGTCACCTGCACTGACAGGTATTTGTTGTGTATGAGCGGCCAGGCTCCTTCCACCTTACACGTCTGGAAGTCGTCGCCAAATGTCCGGAGGTGTGGGTCTCCGAAGAAGCCACAGTGGGTGTAGTTGGGTGGAGCCGTGTTGCGGGGGAGACTGCGCTCATAGTGGCACATTTCCGGGCCATCTGAACGCTCCTGGCTGTCAGGTGTGAGGGGCGGGGGTGGAGGAGGAAGTGCGGTGCGGGCACGTGGTTGGGATGTGGGCCCCTCCCTGGAGCAGTTGTGTTGGCTCATTAGATCCTCTATGCCATGCTGGGCAGAGTGGTACGCCAAGTCCCCCCTGCAGGTTCGTGCAGTCCGCCGCACACAGCTGTTGTACGCTCGCAGCGCAGTGCAGAACTCCTCCTCCGGTCCAGAGTTCGAGGTGGAGGCCCAAAATTCCGAATTACACTTCAGGATCTTACACTGCAGGCTCACTGTCAAGGAGGAACAAGACACAGTTTTAACACAAGAAGCAAACCAGATGGACACAATGTTATTCAAACACATGATAGTTTCGCAGAAAAGCTATTAATAGTAGTCTGTTATTGATGGTAGTTTAGTAACACAGATATATATAATACTAAATCTAAAACCAAAAAATCAGATGAATCATGAATGTTCACACAGCTATCGTTGGCTGCAGTGTCAAATTAAGTGTTCTTACATTACAGCAGTAATTACTTTGCCACATACTTTGTTTTGTAGATTAACTAGTTGGCATTTTGTCAGAAAAGCACAAAACACAGGTCTGAACCTCCCTTGGGTAAACCAGGATATATGATAACTTTGCCGTGTATTGTAGAGAAGTGCATTGACCTTTCACACCCTTTTGGTTCATGTAAAGTAAGAAAAGGCCTTTTGGGATCCTAATCTACACCTTTAGTGATAATATGCTGCTTGACCTTAGATTGTTGTCTCCTGCTTTATTTCCACATCCGGCCACTTATTAACACAAATGTTCTTCAAACATGTTTCAGGATGTCCTGTTGCCACACCATGTTTGAATAGTATTACCTTTGACTAATAAAGCATTAATTTAAACAGGCAGTGAGAGGTTTTTCCCAGTGTCTCAAGGGGGGAGCCATATCAACACTTTGAAGTCACACTTTAAACAATATCCCTCCTGAAAGCTTCACCGCAGCTCTCTACAACCCCCGTATCACCTCTCCGTTTACCACCCATTTGATAGATGGCAATAAACTAATCTTGATCTCAGCTATCAGTGCATTAGCACCTTGTTGTTTGACGGTAAGTGACTTTAGAGGAAAACTGATAAGGGGTTGGCACATATGCAAGGTGAGCTGAATGAGGTTTCCCCAGTGCAGAAAGTAACCAACCCACTGCAATCATCCCAGTCTTAAATGACAAGTTTATTAAGTCAATTTAAACACAAAAATGGGGATGTCTAATATCATATCACACTGCCATTGCAGCAGTTCACATTACTTTTTCCCCAAAACATTTTTAAATAGCTTTAATGCTGGACTTGAAACTGTTAAGCATGCACATTTAAGCGTAATTCAACTCTCTTGGAATTCTTTCGAGGTTTTTTCAGTTTCATTGGTGAATACACTTCTTTAAATGAAAGTCCTTCCTTAAAAAGATGACCTAAGTTAAAGTAAAAAATAAACAGATACTTTCAAGGAGCTATGTGAAATACTGAGGCATGCACCATCCCCCAAACAAAACAAGGGGTGAGGGCTACAACAGCCCCCAAAAGACCCCTCACTTTGTTTTGTCTTCCATTAATAAAATAACGTCCTGTGAAATAAAACCCTGACAACAACTAGGCTGCTTAAACTAGTCAAATGTTGTGCAGTAACGACATTCTTCTTCACTTTCAAGCCTGGTGTCATATTTTCCTAACTTTCAACCTTTTCCAGACTTTTGCACGTAAGCAATTTGCCCTAAATATGTGCAATTTGTAACCAACCAACTGATTTGCTGCGGTGAATTGTACATTTTTTGCAGTTTTTATTTTAAATGCAAGCTTCAGCAGAAACCACTCTTTTAGGTGCACTATGTAACAGTGTTGGAAAGTAACTAAGTACATCTACTCAAATACTTTGCTTAAGTACACATTTGAGATACTTGTACTTTACCCAAGTATCTTCATTTTATAACTCTTTGTGTACTCTACTACATTTTGGAAACATATTTTGTCAAAAATGTATTTCACATATTTATTTATTATTTATGAATTCAGATTTTGACACACAATATTTAGGAATAACTTGTTTTATTTGGTAGGCTATCTAGATTAAACCATCAAACATTATATTTAAGTAAGTTGAGTGGGTTAACAGGGAATTAATTGGCAGCAATTTTGATAAGTAGGCTGCTTTTGCCTTAAAATATATATTAAAAAAATTGAGTTTTACTTTTAATCCTAATACTTTAAGTACATTTCCCAATCGTACTTTACGACTTTTACTTAAGTACCATACTCCATGCAGTACTTTTACTTGAAATGTTGTATTTTTACAGTGTGGTATTAGTTGACTTTTACTTAAGTAAAGAATCTGAACTTTTTCCTCCACTGTATAACTCTACTCTTCCATTGTTCAATTAAATATATCGGCTCATAAATTGTGACCTTACCAAGCAACTTCGCAGCCTACGTTGAGAAAGTAGAACAACAACGATACGTTTCGACAATAACGTTTAACTTGTCATTTTGTTTGGTAAACCTTTTAAGTTCAAACATTTATATACAGTCTATGCATGGTAAAAACATGTTCGTGTGGGTTTTTAAAAAAACGTTTTCATTTAAAAGTAAAAAAAGAGGCATCTTACCGGTTGGGAAGAGTGAGAGAAACACCGCGAGGACTCTGCACAAGTCAAGCGCCGATGGTCTTCCCCTTTTCCCCATAACCATCCATCCAGCTCGGGGTCGCACTTCACTCCTCTCCCTGGTCAAACCCGATTAAGGAAGGACAGAGGAGAAGAGTTAGAACCGCCGTGAAAACACACAGAAAAGTCCATAAAAGGTGCCCCGTCTTCTCATTACTATCTTTAAGAAGTTGTTGTTGTTCGGTGCACCGTGCGGCTACAGCCGGGGACGCTAGCTAACTCGCAGTGCGGGACAAACCTCTGAGAGCAGCCAGGCAATCCGTCTTCCTTTTAGGGGAGTGTCGACAAGGTGCAGCCTCTGCGGGCCAGCGGACACACTGAGCCAATCACATCCGCCTGTTCTGCCCTTAAACCCCCTCTCCAAGTTTCAAATTACAACTCAATGTGCAGAATTGTTCGACGACGACCGTCTTCGCGGCCCACAAAGTAGTGGTGCACAACGCCGTGTAAAAGGGGCTTGATTTGCGGAGATCACAACAATAACCTCTCTGTGAAGGAAAAACCTGGAGAGAAAAACAGTGGCATCCCCCCCACTAAGCATGTAAACAGGAGGTAAGCTACCAACAATATAAAACAACACCACGTTTATTACTAAAGAGCTGTTAATAATGTGCTTCTACCGTTCATATCAGCACACAGCCTTGTATAAATAATGGACCCTAAAAATAGGTTTCAACTTACTTCATGTTTAATATTGAGGCTACAAGCCAAGCTAACCTCTTCAACCCCTCATACCCACCACTGTAGGTCAATCAAACTCACCCAGTGCAGCCACAATCTACACAAGTTTATTTATGTTCTAGTGGGGGTCCCAATGTTTCTAAAGATGCCAAATGTGTCATACTGAATGTTGAAAATGTACACAAAAGTGGTGCTGAAGAACAAACTACCCGCATGCAGTCTCCAGTTTGAATATTTCACCAAGTGTACACATCATGTCTGACATTTGAACAAGCTGTTCTATTATAAGGGCTGCCTGCAACTAGCTATTATGTTAGTTATCGATACATCTGCTCATTGTTTTATTTATTACTTATTTTGTCTATTAAATGTGAGACAATCAAAGTTTACCAAAGCCAAAACTAACATTTTCAATGTGGTTGTTTAATCATGCCAAGAGGCCAACAACACCTATATATTTAGTTTACTATTATTATACATGACAAAGTAAAGCATAACATCCTCACTTTAGTTTTGACAAGGTAGAACCATAGCCAATTATTTTTAACCAATTCTCAAAAGAGTGGCCAACGGGGTTTTCTGTTGCTTGAGAAATTGATCACTCAATAGTTTTAGTGTGTCAGACTATCAGACAAACTACAAGCCAACAATAAATGGATTTTAAGGGTTGTAAGGTAAATGAACCCTCAACACATAATCAATCATATCAAACCAAATATCAAAGGAAAACATTTAAAGAACATTAGCTTGAACATTTTAAAAGCCACTGTGAAATATTATGCCTGTAATTATATAATATAAAACTCAACATCATCTGTGTGTTCTCAATAAAACCTATAGCGCTTGATGGAAATATTCTACTTTTCAGTGATGGCAATACTTTCCATTAACCCAGCAGCATGTAACTATTTAACTTGCAAACCATACCACAATGTGTTGCTGCAGTTTAAAACGTCACATCAGTAAATTAAGTTATCAAAGCCAATGTAAAAGGCAGCTCTAGGAGTGATTTGTCTTTTGAGTAGTGATAAAAATGCTGGACTTGTAAGATCGTAGTTTTAGCATGTTGGCTTAAAGGATTAGAGACATTTCCTTTACTGGGCCGAAGAGCAGATGATCTACATTGAGGTTGCACAAATGACACATCACTTCTGACTTTGACTACGATTTAAAGGAACATTCTATTAGAAAGATGGCCGGCTGACGGCTGTACAGTATTTTTCCATAGAGCGTTGAATGTCTTTGTGAATGCTTTCTCTCTCGTGGATGATGGATACGTTCATGTACAATGAGGTCTGAGCCTACACATGTTTTCAACAAGGGTGGCCCCGGAAAGACTCATTCCCCACTCTATACCTAACATTCCCATCTGAAATGAATGACTGCAGCTGTAAGGCACAAGCTGCTCTGTGATATGTTTTGATGAACTGTTAAATATTTTTGGTGTTTAGTAGCAACAATGGATAAAGAACCAAACTCAGGAATGACATTATAAGGGCTTTTGATGCAGATATCTTGTGATTGATTTAGTCGCCTAAAAAGCTCAAAATCCTTGTGTGTATATATCACATCTAGAAAATATTGTTGCAGATTGAAAATGTGAAACCTGCTTGCAAACGAAGGTGCAACATGTCTGAATATTATTCAGTATCATGGGTTTTTATGACCACGTTCATATTATTTGTCAATTAATTGACTGTGTTAATGTCTTGGTTGACTAAGACATCTTTAGCCAATTAGTGGTTTATGAATTGTCTTTTTTATTAACACTCATTCATCATCAAAAGTTAATTTGCATGCATTTCTGTTTAAAGTAAGCTCTTTAGTAATGGGCATTAAGAGTTACGTGTGCATGACGGCCTTTCTCTGAGATTGAAAATGAAACTGGAGAAACAAATAATGTTACATTTTTACATCAATGGAAAATTACTTATTTAGAAGTCCATGACCCATTTCTTTGGTTAGGATATTTATTCCTTGTTTAAAAATATGATTATTTTTATCATTTCAACTGTTATTTAGTTCATTGTTTTGTTCCGATCAACAACAAACTATTAGCCACTATGGATAATCAATATAATCGGAAAAGTAATTTATTTAGCATAAATGCCAAACAGTCTCCAGTTCAGCCTCTCAAATGCAGGGATTCACTGTGTTTCTTTGTTTTATATATTAGCTCATATTTACTTTAAATAAAATGTCCACAGATTAGGAGCGGTTTGTTGTACAAAGGAAGCCATTTGAAGACATCACCTTGAGCTCTGAAATCTGACGGCCATTTTGACAATGTTCTTACATTTGATAAAGTTACCTAATAGAGAAATAAGATGCAGACCAAATTCTCACTACAAAGGCAAATTGAATTAGACTCATTACACCACCATAACAATTAGGTTAGACCTCTTCTCTTCCATAGGCTTTGCTCATCAAGTGTCCATCATGCCATCAGCTGTATTGTGTCCATTGGATAATAGTTAATGACCAACCAATTATAAGATAGATTGCTTTTAAATCAAATTAGTTTACTTGTATGGGTTTAAATCTCCATGTAGTGGAAAGACAACAATTGTATAAATGAGGATCTATATAGACATCCAGCACATCATGTTCTCCACATGCTGTGTGTGGTAGGTAAAAGTGATTTATAACAATACAACATCTCCATTAATCCAGCAGGTAATCCAATGACGTTTAAAGGTGTGCTGCTTTAAATCTCTAATACTTGCCAAACCTCACACAGTTCTCACATTTTCATACTAAACATGATGTAATGAAGTAATATTCATCTCGTATTGATGTTAAATTGTGTGTACAATAGCATACATTTATTATATTGCATCTGTGTTGACGGTCACTGAGGACTGAGCCTCTTTTCCAACAGATGGCGCTTGTTAGGAGCTCTGATATGAAACCTCAAATCATGACACAAACGCACATGGCATTATGAGGACAACCAAACCTGTCATTACATTTGAGCTTTATGGACAGCTCGGTTATTGGTCTAATTACATGCTGTCATGCAATTAGGATTTAAAAGGTGTAGTTTAAATCTGCAGCCAGCAGGCGCATTTGTCCTGTTGCACTGCTCTACAGAAGATACTCTTTTATACATGTCAGATGGACAACTGAATCTGGAGTAGATTGTTCAAAAACCCTAGAAATATGGTAAATTAAATAGTGCTGCGTTCTTTAATATCTGACGGCACAAGTGAATACAGTGTTTATGCACATTTGACTGACACCAGCAAATGGATCGAATTCTTAATATTGCAGCTCTCCTGACTGCAAATATCGTGTAGTAAAGTAGACACATTTAAGGACATAGATACAGTTTAAAACCAAAGCAAGCGAACGAAAAACTGACAAGACTTCTGCGTAAACATGAACTTAGATAATGTTGGTTAAAATTCAAAATAAGTCTCCAAACCAACCTTGGCGACTGCATGGGCTCTTCGCGACTCTGGAGTCCTGCAGGAATCCGGAGGACAGCGAACAGGAGTGAGAGGGAGCACACTCCTAAAAAATCTCCCCCTTTAAAAAAAATAAACCTCGTACTGTGTGTCAATGTAATCCGAAATCAAACGCACTCAGTGGCTTTCTGAGTGTTAAATCCCGTCTGTGCATGATGTCCAACGATGTGCCTCTCGCTGAAATGAAAGTGCTTTTCTTCTTGTGAGTTGGGATTCATTTAAGAAGCCACTTCTCGCACCCGGGGTGGACTCAGATCTCTGCAGCCATTGCTAAACTCATTTGACTATCGATCGATCGGCAAGCAGACATTATGATAGATTAAGTCCAGTAATTGCCCTCATCCGCGCGGTGAATCCAAATTGTTAGTTATGGTCGACGTCGGGGAGAGAAGCCCTGAGGGCAAAGCTGCTGCTGCTGCTGCTGCTGCGTACGGCTCGCTGTCTGGATGTTGTGAAACGGCTAGTTAGAAAGTGTGAGAGAGACAATGATCGGCTCTGCATGACGCCACTGGGAGCCCCAAATCTCAGCTGCAAACACCACCACCCCCCCCCCCCCCCGTTTTCCAGCTAGTTGTTCTCTCTTTGGGAGATAGAAGTCCACAGATTACGGTCTAAACATTTGACTTGAGAGTTGTGAAGTCTTATTTTTCTGTCACAAGCAAGTGAAACTAAACCCATGTCATGTCAGCTTCCCATGTCATTTTCTTGATTTGTTCCCCATTTTCTGCCTTATTACAGAATCCTTCTGCAAGATCAAGATAGAAGTTTCTAGACCTATTATAACACACACACAAGCGTTTACAACTCATTTAAACTGCTACTTCATTTACACATTGATAGCTTTTTGAATTTCTAACATAGCACCAATTGTCAGAACTAAATGACCAGATAACCTTTAGCACACTCTCTAAATTACAGGTTGGAAAAAGACAAATCCATAATAATCAGGATTTAATGGAGGATCAGGTGGACAAACGCTTTGCAGCAGGGAGGAGGGGGCGGGGGTGGGTGGGTATGCTCGTATGCTCAAAGGCAGAGAGGGCTGCATGGGGGCTGCACCTGTGTTTTAGGATCAGACGGCATGCAGGAAAATACCACCACAACCCCCTCTTTCCTTTCCTCTTCAGCTTTTCCAACCTCCACTCCATGGTTCAACATAACTGGTTCTCTCTGCTCCAGTTTCTCTGTGATCAGGAAAATCCATCACACCAGGGAGGGGAGAGATTTTCTGACTGAAGTAGCACAATGACCAATGCGGTGTTCTCACTGTCTGTCAGGCGGGTATTGGATATGCAGAATCATGCAGCAATGCAGAGCTGATGGTTAAAACCGCTGTGATTTCACCTTCTATCAACACTGGAGTCGTACACGTTTTTAGCATGCAGCTACCGGATTGAGCTG